GAGAGCGAGAGAGAGAGAGCAGGCCTTAGGCGCAGAATGACAAGTGAGACCCTTCAGAGACAGCAGCCATTGACGGAGAGAGAGAGACAAGGCAAAGAGAACACATCTCCAATAAACTCCAGTTTGTAGTATGCATGATGTTACATGGTATGGAATAGCCGTTTGCCAAGTTAGATATCCCTAATCCCTGGCCATGCTTTCCTTAGGTTCTTGGAGGTCTGGGTCATTAGCAAAACACAAGCTGGAAAGTGCTACAGATACCTGCAAACCACAGCTGGCTACAAACTAAAACAAAGTGTCTTATCAACTCCATTCCTACTGAATCGGGTGCTACAGTCTTTTGAAAAACGCAGCTTACTTTAGAAATGTAGCTTCTCTGAATAGAAAATTGATTGTATGATTCTATCCTAGGGAAACCAGGATAATATGGAATATTCCATTGACCAATTTGGGCTTCAATCAGACGCCTAAACTCAAATCCTAAGCTAGGAGTTGTGGGTCCATTGCTCTGGCTATGCTCCCTCCTAGCTTCTTGTGCACGTGCACACTAGCAAAACGAGACGCTGAGAAAGCCCGTGATGTCTTAGCAACAGCTATAAACATCAGTATGTTGTCAACATTCTTCTCATAACAAATCCCATACTAAATCCAAAGCACAATGCTATCCTTGCTACTAAGAAGAAAACTAACTCTATCCCACCTGAGAGCAGGACAGCGTGTCACACTGTCATACTGACTTTATGAAATTCTGTGTATAGCTTAGTATGTAGTTATATTTGCCTGATATTCCCACAGTTTTGTCATGCATTTCATAGGCTTTGAAGTTGTGACTTGTGGGGGGTTTTTGGGCATTTGGTTTTGTTTTGTTTTTTTAACTGTTAAACTGGGATATCGACTTGTAATAAATAGTCACAATGCAGAATAAAGATTTATGAATAAGGGTGGAGAATAAATTCTCATCTCTTAAAAGGCCTCTCCTTCCAATGTTTAAATACGATCCTTATTTCAGGATTGCATCTAACATTCACTGTGAGAACGCACTCCCTTATCTATGTTTTTTTACTTCTGTTACTGTTTAAGTTAGAGCCTTGTAGCCTCAGTTATAACCCTTATGAAAGCATAGGGGCAAAAATATCAGAGCAAAACTGAACTATAGGTTTTATTGTAATTAGGCAACTCATAAATAAATATTTGAAATATTTTTGGCAGATGGGAATGTGTATATTTTAGATAGCTTTCTCTGGCAATTGCCAGAATAGTTTCTAATGATCTAATAAGTAAGTATGGAAACATCTGCATCTCTCTTCTACTGAGGACAATGAAACATTATTCTTTCTTTTTACAGGTAGGATAGTTAGTCTAACTTGGCAAGGTTGTTTCCTGTCTGAGCCGAGAGCTCAGTTTTTTTGTGCCTTAATTTACAATTATCGGAAAGGCTCTTTCTAAGTTTAGGGTCTAATCTCAGTATTTTCAGAGTAAAGGAATTCTGAAAAATAAGATCTGTATTTATTTTTGGTTTATAGGGTACCCTTGAAAGTGGAACAAGCAAACAATGCTCGTGATGCCTTAGCTAAAACGGTGTATAGTCATCTATTTGACCATGTAGTGAACAGGGTAAACCAGTGTTTTCCGTTTGAGACTTCTTCTTTCTTCATTGGAGTTCTAGATATAGCTGGTTTTGGTAAGTATACTTTAAAAAATAATTAATTTTCTAGTTGTCTATTACTGCCAACAAAGATTGAATGATAAATTCTGTAATGGAGAGTAGGAGGGTTTTCTTTTTGGTGGTGGTGGGTGGGATGGGTTACAAGGGCTTAAGAAAATGTCGAGAGACTGGACAAAGCCTCGTTTTTCTGAGATACAGGAATGTAGAGGAGGTCTAGAGCTTCTCCTGATGACCTAGTAACACTAACAAGCATTAGTGTGAAACTGAGCATCTTTGTGGTGGTTTCAGATTCTTGTCCTTGTCTACATAGACACAGCTTTTGAAGGACTAAAAATTTGGAATGAAATCTTGATGCGGCCACCCTGTAAAATTAGGAAAGATATTGCATGTGCATGCTTTTTTCCCATTCAGTCCTGAGAAGATCACTGCACACTGACAGACAGGCAAATGAAGTCTCTGAATTGAAATAGTTTCCTTGAGGATGGGTAATTCTGTTCCAGAGTTGGATTTTGGACTTTGGGCTCCTGGTTTCTCCCTGGAAGTGGTGGGCATTGATGGTTCTCATAAAGCTTTTGCCCTGTTTGGCTCACTGAGATTCAGAATAGGGCATGTTTTCTGGTGTGTTCTAGCCCTCCTAAGGTGGTTCAAGAACAGTGAAAAAGGGAACCTTTGATTTCAGGTCTCTAGAGCTATGATATCTTGTGCCAGCCTGTTGTAACATGGATGGATTAGGCATGTATTGGTACAGTTCCACTGTATGGTAGCATCTTGCATTGGTTTGCTGCCAGATATAACTGTCTGTTATTTGTCTTAGATGCACGATCTGCTGCAGTGTTTTTATATCTGTCTTATGTGCAACTTGAAAATCAGTAAAAGCTTTTCTTTTACTGAAAGAAACAGATATGGATCTGAACACATCTTTAAATATTAGCACTGTGAAGCTTTTCTTATTTACCATGTAATATAAATTCTTGGAACACTACTTTATCATAGAAGTTTAACTTATGTTTTTCAGAATACTTTGAACACAACAGTTTTGAACAATTCTGTATTAACTATTGTAATGAAAAACTGCAGCAGTTTTTTAATGAAAGGATTCTGAAAGAGGTATGTTATATTTAATGTTATATTTGAAGATTTATTTTTTTAGTAAAGAGATACTTAAGCACTACTTTCCATAAGATTGCACATAATGCTTAGATGAAAAAAAAATCAGTTGCCAAATTGTTTTCCTACTGTGTGACATCTGGTGGTGCTAGAAAAGCATATGACTTTTTAAAAACCAGCATTCTTTTCTTCTCTTCTTTATTACCATTCATTAAAATGAGGCATCCAGATACTGCACAGTATCTCATACCTAATGGGAATATCTAATTGCATGGGCCTATCATTAAGGAAGTGAAATTGAAATACATTAATATTAAACTGTGGAAGGAAATTCTAAAATGTGTGTTGATTCATGCTGTAATTAAAAATGTCTTCATGTTTATGTAAAAAAACCATTTTTGTCAGTTAAGAAAACATGGTGAGTGGTGTTTTCTCTCTTCAATTGCTCTTTTTTTTTAAGGAACAAGAACTTTATCAAAAAGAAGGCTTGGGGGTTAATGAAGTGCGCTATGTAGATAATCAGGACTGTATAGGTATGTATGCCTTGAAATATCAAACTATTAGTTAGTATCATGGGGAGGAAAAAAACTTCAAGCAGAAGAGGCAAAATATGCGTAGCACTAGTAATTTTATGCTTTTAATGACTGTTGCAACCTCATGAATTCTTCCAGCTTTGTATAACCTTCCAGTTTTGGTTGGTAATAGAGCCATGTTGTCCTACAGTGTGTGATGACTGCACCTGGGACTTGTGAATTTCCTGTACCTATTCTTGGAAAACTAATTAGAACACATAAACAGGGTAAATAAAGTGAAGAGGGTGTGAGGGTGTCTGGGGAAAATACTCCATGAATTACAAAAAAAAAAAAAAATCCCATCCCATTCCCCCCACCTTTTTTGAGCCAATGAGCAAAGAAACAAAATGAACTATAGGCAGCAGGCTGGAGATGTTACTGCTGCTTTTAGGTTTCCACAGACTGATATGCCAGAGGCCTGGAATGATTATGTTGTTTTGTTTTTTTTTCTTCTGCGTTCAACTGGTGTTCTCCAAATTGGTGTATTGTGAACAAAAATTCATCTTGCTTTTGCATTTACAGTAATTTGCATATCGTAACTAGTCAGTCCTGGCTGAGCAGAGGATTCAGAGTGACAGAATTCAACATCTGTTGCAAAATGTCTGGTTATTCTGAGTTTCTGTAACTCTGCTGAAGAAGTTTTCACTTTGTCAGATAAGACCGTACACTCACTAACCCTGACTTAACTAAAGACAACTCTTGTCAAGGAAACCTCTAGCCATCTTGTGAAAAGCAACATAAATTTGGAGGAGGGAACAAAAGGATAGCAACGGGAAATAAGTGACGTATATTAATACAAATCTTATCTCTTCTACTCTTCTAGTGTTTTAATAATGTGTTTAGTAATGTGTATATGAGCCTGAGCCTGTTCCCAAAAGTGCTGTTATAGTTTAGAGACTGTCATTTTTCTGTAAAAAGGGTTGCTTCCTTCCTAGTGCAAGGTCTTGTGGTTTGTTTTTTGTTGTGTTTTCTTTTTTTTTTTAATAAACATATCTTGGGATCAAAAAGGCTTCCCTGGTGCCCATTGGAAGAAAAGGTCTCTTTCTGACTCATAGTGGGAAAATGGGTCAGATGGTAGAGATTGTTGCCAAGTTGTTACCTTTTCCTGCCTTAGAAAGGTTTGGGCAGCCTACCTAAGAATACAAGTAGCAGTCCCTCAGTCATGATCCTATTTACTATTCCAACCGACATATGATACCCCACCACAGATCAGACAAAATTTGTCATTGTTTGAGTTATTGTTAAATAAGTTCATCAATTATAGCTTAATTAAACTACAGCATGTATGCTTTTTTCCTGTCCTTGCGCAGTCAGGAGAAAAGGATTTTCTCCTGCCTTTTGAAGTCAGTGAGAAAATAATGTTGGTTTCTGTTGAAATATGGTTTTGTTTAAGGTGTTGGACCAGGCCAGTGACAGCAGTGAACATGCAGAAATGTTAACTGTCACAAAAGAGAAGGCTATTATGTTGACATGGTCGATTCTTTAACACTATGGAAGAATCTTAGAAACAGTCATGAGTATGTTAGAATATTTTGATGGAATGGTAGTCATCTCTGTAGCTAAATTAGCTTATTCAGATTTTATAAACATAAATTCTTTGCATCGAGGCTGTCTTTGTGCTTTATATATAGCCTTATACTGTTTACAGTCTGTGGTAAGAATTCATAGGCGTTGCTGTAGTACAAGTATTAGTCATTTCTTCCTTTCCACAGGAAAAAAAAATAGGTAGTAAAAATTCCTCTTGCAAGAACAGTTTCATAGATAACAACAAAAAAATTTTAAAAGCTGCAAAATTCTTGTGTCTAATAGTTTCAAGAGCATGAATTTCTGTGTTAGCTTTCAAGGACTTTGGTATGTGTATGTGAAAGTTCAAGGCAGCACTCTTGTGAAATGTTGTGAAACTCTGACTGTATACTCCAGTCTGATCTGCCTTTTTTAAAACAAATGCATTTCATTTTTCTCCCTGAATCCTATTGTGAATGGAAGTATGTGCCTTTCCATGCTTTTAGTTTTGGTGTGTGGTGAAACATGGATGAAAAGCTTAAAAAAAAAACCCAAAACAAAACAGCCAACAATATAAGCAATAATCCCATAAAGACCTATGGTCATACTACAGAAACGTGTAGATGGGAATTAGATGACTAAATTCAACTCGAGACCCTGAGTAAAAATCAAACAATCCATGCCTGATCTTTTTTCTCCTGTGTTAGAGTTAGAACTTGGTATTCGTAAGGTATTGATTAAATCAACAATTCACATATGTGGAATTAATTTAGAGTGACGTTTTGTGTTTTGTGTTAACAACTTTCTCTAGATACCTTTATACAGAATCAGATCCATAGTATTTTCAACTTGTAATGTTCAGTTCTGAGATGAGTTTATGTAGTCAATGTTTGTAAATATATTTTGTTTTATTGATAGATTTGATTGAAGCAAAATTAATAGGTGTACTGGATATTTTGGATGAAGAAAATCGTCTTCCCCAACCGAGCGACCAGCATTTTACTTCCGTTGTGCATCAAAAACACAAGGACCATTTCAGGCTCTCTGTAGGTTTATTTTTGCTGTCTGTCTTGTTTTAATAAAACATTTCTTGGAACAGTTGATAGTAAGACTTCAGTTTAATGAAAACCTTCCCTAAGAAATCTCATACTACACCAGTCTGTGCAATCCATATTCTTTTGTTAAGGACAAGTTTGGTTATTAGGTTTGTTGAAAAGTTCACTGAAGGCTTAAGTCTTCTAGCAATTCTA